AGAATTTCATTTTTATTCTGGTCAGAGAACAACTTTTTGTAATTTGAGAATGTCTAACACTAGATGGCAGGATGACACCATAGATTCCTCAAAACTGTAAAAAGAAAGGTGACACTTTCTCAAAGGTGTTAAGGGTTCTGAGGCAAATCCATTGTCTAACACTTCAATATACGCACTACATACAGTTCCATAGTCGTTTATATTTAAAGTCTCACTGTACATTGAGTGATAGTAAATATGAATAAGTCTTTAAAGAAAATACAGAAAAATTTCAGTTTTTCATGTTTTTAAAAGTTATGTAAATATGATAATAGCTGAAGAAAATAGTTTGTTAATACTGGAAAGACACAAATACTATTTGGCATCTTTAGAACCTAATGATTAAATTATTTATGTAAAATATAGGGATTGGTCATTTAATCAAATACTACTGAAGTGAAAATGCCTAAATGCAAATTTAAACAAACCTTTTATTTTTCACAATCAAGATTGATATTCAGCAAGTAAGAAGTATTTCAGAATAAATCCACATTAAATGCATATCTATTTAAAAGGGCATCTTTTTTGATGTCAACTAAAACCATCCTAGAAATAGTAAGAACTATTTTAAACTCTTCTGGAAAAAAAAATGGGTTTTCCAAATAAATTACTCACTCACTGTTAGTATTTATATGCTACTTGTCATTGCTCTAGGGATAATATGGCTATGTTCACCGTATACTGTATAACTTTTTTTCTTCAACGAGAGCACTTTTGAGCTTGAAAGTATGAATTAAGACTGCCTCAGAAAACTAGGACATATGACAACCCTATTGAAGGTATTTCCCCTCAGAAAGTTCATCGTGTACTCTCATTTAAAGTATGTATAATTTTGTTGTATTTAAAAATCCATTTGAATTAGTCCGTGACATCACTCATTTGCCAGTACTGACACTTTAGTCTAACAATAACCACACCTCCAACACCCATGAGTATCTGCAAGAAAATACTAAGTTCCCTGGAAGAACTTAATCCATCAGGATATAAGAATTTTAAAAATAGCAAATGTTTGGCCAATTATTTTTTATGTTACTTGACTTTCTTGAGGAAATACATAAAAGAAATTCTCTATGTAGGCTATAAGGTAGTTTTATTTATCTGCATATTAACCTGGTATACATTTCTGCATATCTGACCTGATATATATACCGTTCATTTCAAGCATAGTTTTCTGCACTTTCCAAATTCTTATTCATAGTACATGTTTTTAAAATAATATTGTGATTTTCTTTAAAATGATAATTATGTGCACAATTAAAATGAAAATCTGCCCTGGTTTTAGTAATAGATAATAGCATATTCACGCTCAGTGTCCCAGACATTGTAACCAGATTCTTTTACTAAATGCAATTTATTTTTATTTGTTTTGAAAAGCAACTTGAAAAATGCTGACAGCAGTTCCTAGGTAAAATAATAAAAGGTCTAGTCAACTTATTTCCTTGCCAGAAGTAGTTTTTTAATGTAAAGCTTGTAAACACATAAGCTTCAGATGTAAAGTTGATGGGTTTCTCCTCAAATTATTGGTGCATTTTTCATAAAGCACGTTATGTATAATTTTGTGGACTTCATAAATTATCACCAAGTATAAGTAATTACTTTCAGACAATTAAGAACACACAGGAATTATTAACATAAAATAATAACTTTTAAAACTTCATAGAAATCATTTATAAAGTCTTTCTTTTGACTTATTCTTACACTCTCACCAGGGAAAGTCTGTACTTAATGTATTTCCTGTAAAAGTGTTCTGTTTTGTTTTGTTTATTCTTGTGGCAGAACTATACTCCAAGGCAGTATCCACACAAATTCAAAATAAATGGTCAGTTCGGTCAGTAGAAAACTAAATTTGTCAAACCACATTTTGGTCTGCTTTAACTAACATATTCAATATAAACAGTAGCCCAGAAATTTTGAGTTAGCTGCCGCCTAATTCTGAGTCAACATGTATTTCACATGGTAACCAGTTGGAAGAAAATGGTGCTTGGGAGCCTTACCTGTGACCACAAATAAAAGCATAAATCCTGCATGTAGGATTCTAAAATGAAAATGTGTGATTGTCATTACGTGTATATATTTCTACACTTAAACACCATTCCTCACTTCTGCAGAAAATCTTATTGCAGTGCTCTGCATCATTACATCTAGACTATGTTACCAGCATCAGTGGCTAATTTTGCAAAATTTGACCCTTAACTTCTCATGTGCTAGTCAACCTGTTCACTAAAAGACTAGATAGCAGGACGCATTTGACTTTTCTTTATCTTGTTAAAACACAGTTAGCACATTACCTAGCTCAAAATACAAATTTGGTCACTACTAATTAAATTATTGCAATTAAATAATTGCAAATTATTGCACAGATTATAACGTATAAATCTACATAATACCACACTGGCTCGCTTGATTATTGAAATATTTTCATTTAGTTCTGCTACAGTTTTCCAAACATTTGCTTTCATATTTCAGTAGGCATTACAGAAGTTTTTATAATCTGTCTTTTCACTTGCTCCTAATTAACTTAGAATACTCTGAATGCCTTCCTGGAAGTCCTTGTACCATTTATTTCTTCTGAAGTGTATAAAATGGTAACTTTTAAGGATTACTAGGTTGCAGTTTTCTTACTATGTCTAAATAAGGCTTAAAGATGATATTAATAAAATTTAGTAGTCTTCATGGCTTACAACGGTGGACCCATGTGTCCATCAATTTAAATGTAAATGATACAACTTCTATTAGACACCCCATCAAGTATAACACTTGATATAGAGTAGAAGAGAAAGAGCATTGGATTAAGGATTTTCTGACATGAATTCAAACATGATTTTTTTTTCCTTCAATAGATTTTGCTAGTGTTGGGCCAATGAAATCAATGAATTTTTCCGGGTGCAGTGGCTCACGCCTGTAATCCCAGCCATTTGGGAGGCCAAGATGGGTGGATCACTTGAAGTCAGGAGTTGGAGACCAGCCTGGCTAATATGGTAAAACCCCATATCTATAAAAAAAATACCAAAAATTAGCTAGGCGAGGTGGCACACACCTGTAATCCCAGCTACTTGGGAGGCTGAGGCAGGAGAATCGCTTGAAACTAAGAGGCAGAGGTTGCAGTGAGATGAGATTGCACCATTGCACTCCAGTCCTGGCTACAAGAGCAAAACTTGGTATAAAAAAAAAAAGAAATCAAGTAATCTTTGGAAAGACAAAAATATCAATGCTCTTAAAAACATATTGGTAAATGTTTTAGTTTTCCACAAATTAATTAAATTCAAAAACCATATATTAATCTCTTTATAGGATTTATATATTACACTTAGCATGAAAGATGAGACATGACCCATCATTACTTTCGTATTAAAATCCAGTATTTGTTTTGCTCTGATATTTCAAGATGGATACACCAAGCCTAGAAAGCTTTGTCAACATCACAACACAGTATCAGAACCCAAACTGGAACTTCATGTCTTTTAGTTCTTACTGCTTTCGACTTCTTTCTTGGTTGTTCCCCAAGCAGAGTGCTAGCTCCACATCAGAACTGAATCAAGATTTCACCTAGAAATATCCACATTCATTTTCTGATTGAAGAGTCATTGTTTGTGTAGCCAGTAATAATTTGCAACATTAATCTTTTCTTCTCATGGGCTGAAGGAAACAGTTCAAAATGAAGTACAACTCAATAGCCCCCCAAAAACAAAGCAAAATCAAACCCCTATCACAAAATAAAATATTTTATAACTTGACTACTTAACTCTTCTGTTTTTTTTCCCCCTTCTATCTTCCAATAACCACACTGGTGTAACTCAGTTTCTTACAAGTCTTTTCTATTACCGTAATTATAGAGATTAAGGTATAGCCTATTTTTACATGTCTGTTTTTTAAATCAATATTGTTCTTACTGGTCTTAAAATCAAAGATTGTATAAACATTTTCTTTCACTAATCCAGACAATAAAAATGTCAACATGAGCACCCTGCTTTAAAAAGATGATATTTCTGAATTTATTTTGCCTTTACATCCTTTGTTTGCCTAGTAGGTGTATGGGCACCTCATTTTACCCTGGAATTTCCCTAACAATTTACTAAGAATTGAATGAGTCTCACCATAGCTTATCTATTTCTAAATGTTATGAAACTTGTCAATTCAAAGCCTTAGGAATAAAATCTGTCTCTTCTAGTTTATAGGTGAGAAAATGTATGCCCAGATAAATTACGTGACTTTTAGTGCTGTTTAGGTTACAGGGGCAATCTATTGTTTCATATCATACATTTACCAAGTTATAAAAATGAAAAAACCATTTCAAATTTAGGACATTTCCCCTGATCATATCCAATGATTTATTAAACATATTAAGGATAAAATTGTGTTTTGAGATGAAATTTTGTCTAAAATAAAAAGTATGCTATGTATTTTATATTACCTTATAATATTATGTTTATAGCCCATCTATATTTTCTTTAAGGTTGTTTTGACTTACAAATATTATAGTATAAATTATTTTTTAGATTATAGAAAACATAATTATACCAAATATTTTTAAATATGTGCAACAATTTTGTCTCTTTTGTCAAATATATATACTTATATATTATAAAAGAAGCACTCCATACACACACATACACAAGTTGAATTTATAACACACACACTCATATTCTTATGAATAAAGTAAAAGAAAAATAAAAGATTTTTAAAATGCAGGATAAAGTTTATTGATTGACTCAACTGATTAGGAACTGATTGAGGAACAGCACCCAATTAGCAGAGCTCCAAAGTAAGAAGAGCCAAATCACAGAACCAATTATGATGAAAGCAGTTAATTTTTTTCTGTATTCTGCTATAAAGAACGATTTGTTAGATTTTTTTTTCCTGGATACTTTGTAAGCTATAATTTAACACACACACACACACGCACACTCTCACACGCAATCACACGCGCGCGCGCGCGCGCGCGCACACACACACACACACACACTCCTAACTCCTTTGATTCTTTGAGCAGAATACTATATTCAGATTTCCTTCAAATCACAAGTAGCTTGTTTGGCAAGTTCTAACAGAACTCAGTAAAGGTGAAAGCCAGCCAGCTTTTTACTGGTAACAATGTATTCACACAGCCTCTGATCTCTTTCTCTTCAGGCTGCTTCTTGCTCTTGTCTCACAATAAGAAAGGAGTGCTGCTTTCCTGGGGTATGCTATTTGAGAAAGAAAGTAACCTAACACTAACTGCAGGCGGGGTCAGAGTGATGTAACAGGAAGCTCTGATGTTTCCCTTTTGCTGCTGATCACTTACAATCTGACAACACTTAAAATCTACTCAGAACAACCTCTCTCTCTCCAGCAGAGAGTGTCACCTCCTGCTTTAGAACCATCAAGCTCTGCTAACTGGATCTCACCCTGATTGCAGGATCACATTACAAAGCTTTCACTCTTCCCCACCTTGCCTGGGGGTAAATCTCTTCTGCGGAATCTCAGAAAGTAAAATTCCATCCTAAGAATATTTCACCAAGAATTTCCTTAAGAGCTGGACTGGGTAAGTGCATTATTCAAAATAACCATATTTATTCTAAGTACTATTCTCATACAGTTTGACAATGTTTCTATTATAGAATTTAGTAGGTAGCATTGAAATAATGTTGAAATATATTCTCATTTATTTCACATGCTTCAGAAAATACAGCATATTACCCCAACATGAATACAAAATCTGTTGCTACTAGATAATATTGTTTATCACGGTGATCGAGAAAATAAATTTAGCAAGTATTAAAAATCTAAATGAATTAAAAGACATATTTCTGATCAAAGAACAGTGCCTTTAAAAATTAGCTCTACTATTAGCTAAGTTTGAATCTTGAGAGCTGGAAAACATTTTCCCCTTAGGAAGGGTCTTTAAACTTTCCATGGAATCAGCTCTAAGAAGAGGTGAAAGAATAACTACCTAAGGGGTCTCGGCGTCTCACTTACTCTGTGGCTGAACACAATGCAGAGTTTTGAAAAGTAATCACTTTGGATTTATTATATTTGCCTTTATTTGCCTTTCACCTCTATTTACACATATATCTCTAACTATTAAACTATTTTTTGCTGTTCATTGTTGCCAGACGTGCTAAATCTCTCTTCTGCTAACCCCGAACCGTTCCCTCTTTTTTTGGATCATGGTGTCGGCTACAAAGAAAAAATAAAAAAACTAGAGTTTAAAAAATGCTTATTTTTATAACAATTCTTAATTTTAAAATCTTTAAGAGAATACTTCAACTTGACTGGCTCCTCTCTGCAAGCTTTTGGAGGAGGGTGTGATATCAAGATGTTTGTGGATAAAGAAACGTGACAGATTTCCCAAACAAGTATATGAGATGATTAATTGAAGAAACTGAAGTATTTATTAAAAATTAATTTCCAGGATAGAATTTGCTGAAATGTTGAGATAAAACATCTGTTAATGCTCATTCTGATAGTACAGACTGTCCTGAACAATTTAAGAAACTAATGTCTGCTTAATAGAGTGTTTCTATAGATTACCACAAATTTGTTGTTGAAGAAAGTTTGATGTCAAATTTTAAATTTTGTTGATAGATATCATTTCTAAGTTATATATTTTCTCACCTAAATGAAATTGTACTTTTCAAGATGTCCTGCAATAGAAGCATCCTGTACTTAATCACTCATATCTGACACATTAACAGTAGACTGCAAACATCCTGAGTTAACTCCTCAGTAATTTTCAACTCAATTTTTCCACAAATTCCTCAATATAATGAAAATTTAAATTAATTTAGTTTTGTGATTCTTTGAAAGAATCATGGCTGATTTCTCTCTCTTTTAAATCTTCAATTGTGCGGAGTTTCCTGTCACGTATGTAGAAATGGGAAAAGTGTTTTTAGAATGTGACTTTAGTCATTATATAAATGGGGAGGAGGGGATGGAGTAGAAACAACACATTTAGTAACCCAATGGCATGGGTTAGTAACAAAAATTAAAATAATATTTTTTATTTAAGTTTTTTTTAGGAGGCAGTATATTATGATCATATTGTATAATGAGTAACTTTCCAAACTTCTTTAATTTTTATTTAATTGCCAGCCCAAAACCCATTATTTTCTTGTATAATTTGGTTAAATTTTTATGACTTTGGTAACAGTATGGTTTACAATCTTTATTTTCCAAAAATACTTTTGAAAAACACTAGGTGATGAATATTGAAGGTCATTAGGCAAAGGAATTATTTTAGGAAATAACTGGAAGTTTGAAATAAAACTTCATATGAATTATTCAAAATGTGCTTTCTTCAATGATAAGAGAATATCAGAGTATCCATGCATGCTTTTAGCCATAAAGAAATGAATTTATTTGCTAGATGATGTTTCCCTGCAGTGTCAAAAAAATCAATGCATTGAACCTACAGTCAATTCTAAATAGTAAAATGAAACATAGAATTGAAATATTATGTGAATAATGTGAGCTGAAACATTTTTTACCTGAAATATTCTATTTCTTAAAAAGATAATACCTTTGGCTATTGTTACAAGATTTATTTTCTATCTTACATGCCAAAGCATTATACTAACATTTAAAATATGTAGATTTTTATAATATATGAAACTATTCACTTTGAAAAATTGGAATAACAAAAACATTTTTAAAAATAAAACTGGGTCTGCAGTTTTTAAAATTATTTTAAATGAATGGCCAAGATGTATATGCTTTTCTCTCTGGTGATTCCAAACATATAATGAGTTTTAAGTGAAGTCAATACCTAGCACATTTGTAAGAACATTTAGGTTCACCTGCACATATTATAATATTTTTTCATGCATAAAAGAAATAAAATTTAGTAAATTGAGAATAATATAAAGGTAAAATTATTGCCTTATTTGCTTTACAGATGAATGTGGACAAATTATTTGATAAACACATAAAAGCTAGCTGAATTTCAGTTAATATTATTATATATTTCTAACTAGATCATACTTGGAAACATTGTAAAAATATTTTGTCATCAATTTTATCTACATGACAAAAGTTTGATAGTAACTTTATTTTTCAAAAGTTTGAGAGTAACTTTATTTTTAAAGATTGTTCTGGACCTTTATAGGAAAAATAAAATAAACTTCAGGTGATGAAAAATGTATTCGCTAAACAAAATTTATTTCATATTCTACATATGACCTTGAATACAGCTTTAACAAATAATTCTATTTTTGGAGATATAATGATACGGTATCAACTTTTCAGAATATAAATATGTTCAAGAAACATTATTTAAAATCTTTTACTATATTGCATATCTTATGCTTGGCACTGAGAGAAGCTATTATGCCATAAACACAAGCTGTATCATTGCAATGGGGTCAATGAAAGACACTCTTAGGAGAATCTTAGTTCTTCACTTACTCAGAATTCTGAAGGATATACTGGAGATGGAAAAATGGTACACAGTTATTTAAAGAATTTCTCTGTATCTGATTTTCAAATACATGGGTGAACTATAAACATTCACAATTTCTCAGGTACATTCTCTTTTTCTGCCAAAGTACATGACCCATGATGGATTACAAATTATTTCAAGACATTTTCTTCTGTAATATACAAAAATATTATAATGCAAATAGGTGGAAAATAAAATCTTACCAGAAATACAAAATAAACTCTACCTGCTAACCAGATAGATCAGTCCTTTACCCATTTGGTCACATGGACCATGTGAATTAGATTAGATCGATTAATCTCTGCATTTTTCTATAATTGAATAATCTTAAAATCAAATTAATTTAATTTTAATAAGCTATTTTACAAAAAAGAGAAGAAATGTATTCAATTCTTAAGGACACAGTAAGGTTTTACTGCTTAAAAAATAAATAAAATAGTGTCACTGCCTGTGAACAGAGTTAGGATCTATGTTTCCTAGGTTACTAGAATTGTTATCAGGGAATAAGTGGCAAATATTTTCCCAAGACACATGTCTTCCACTTTTTTTTCAATTAGTTTGTTTACTTAAGAGATAGTATTCAAAACTAACAGAGCAAAATATTGTTGTTTGCAAAAGTGTTCAAAAGAGTATATTTACTTTTGAAAGGTTAAAGAAATTTTATTTTAATTTTTCATGGGTTAAATTAAATGTATTATACACTTTTTACATCACTAAAAATTAAAATGACAAAAATCCCAACCCTGTTAAACATAGCATAAGCCAAAATGAATAAATAAATAACCCTTATGGTACTGAGGTGATAGTTTTATATTTTATTAACACTGCTTAATGGAGCCCAATTTTCAGATTAATCTTATTTCCCTTAACATAGAATGTATCTTTTTGAATTAAAAAACTGTTAATATGACATAAACTTTTATATAAAACTGTAGTAGTTTTATCTCTACTCAGGCTTAGGCTGACCGAAGCTCATTTGCATTTCTCATAAAATCATAGTGAATTTTGAGCATATCATTTGGTATATTAAATTGCAATGATTTAGTTACGTTGCAGCTAGATGGTTTATAAGTACCCATCTCCTTATAGAGTAGTGACATGGAGGATCAAGAGCATATTCATGAGCAAGCAGATTTGGTTTTATTAACCAAAATGAAGATAAATTTTTCTTGCATCCAGCTACTGAATTCATAAATTTTACATGAGTGTTAATTTGAACCCACGTCCGTTAATTAATCTGAGACCAATGATTATGCAGATATTTTGCATATGCACCTCAATTTTGCCTTCCCTCCAAGGATAATTTGAAGGAAAAATTGAAACCTTGGTAAGTATCAGAGAGCAATAAATAACATTGCAATATAAAAACAGGGTTAAAACAATGGGAAAAGAATGTCATCAATACAAAACTGTGATTTTTACTTTGTACTTAGTAATGGAAAGTTAATATTAGAGTAACATGTTTAATGTCCTAGTCAATCTGCATATGTCCTTAAAATTTTACTTTTAATGATATATTTGTTTTTGTCTTTTCTACAGACATACCAATATGCTTGATTAAGACAAAAAACCTTACACACTTATTTTAGAAATTTAGGTATGTGTTATTTATAGAAGTGCACTGTGATGGACTTTCGATTTAGACCATCCACATATGAACCCAGAATCTACCACTTCCGCTTTCTCATCTATAAAGTGGAAGTGATAATCATACTGCTTTATAAGGTTTAGTAAGTAATCCATGAATTAACACATGGAAATTGTTTAGCACTTGGCATTTAGTACATATTTAATAAATTTTCATGTTCATCATAAGTCTGTTGTGAGACTGAGTATATAATTTGTTTCTGTGCAAAATCTCATTGCAAACAACTGTCCTGCATCCAGATAGACAGAATACAATCTATTTATAAGATGGGAAGAGTGAACAAGTGTGATTTATAATTATGGTTTTTAGGGTGATCATCTCTTTGCCTCATATAATACATGCCAGAACCCAATAGAATTGAGGCTGATAATTACTATTTCCATAGAATGGAGCACTTAAAAATACCTGCGTATTAACAATTTTAAAAGGTATATTAAACAAAAATTGTGTTTCTTTC